TTTTCCCCCAGTTGGACTGTTTTGGTTTCACATCCAATTTGTGCATGCATCATGGAACGGTTACGTTATTGTCATGCGTTTCGTTTTGCTTTGTTCACGCGCATGCTCATGTGCTGCCATGATGTTTGTCATTTTCTCCAGTTTCCAGTTTCCCTTGTTGTGTCCGGTCTTCTTTGTTTGTCCGTTGCCCGTCTCCGTCTTGTCGAATAATTAAATTATGTAAAACTTGAGTTCAGTTTTGTAACTTTTGTTGTTGTGTATGGCGGGTCGGATAGGCAGGGAGGCTGGGCGCCTGATGCCTGGCAATATGTGCGGGAGCAAAAAAGTGCTTTATCATTCCAGTGACCCGTCAACGTCTCACAGCTCGACTTCTTTATCCCAAATCCCATTGCTACATCACTGCTCTTGTCTATCATTATCTACACAATACAACCAGCTTGGACAATCGACTCGCCATGATGCTCCTCTTAGTCACAATCCATGTAATTCTACATAGTGTCATAGTCCCTTCTGCACACTAGTAGGGGTAATCGGATTATGCTCAGAAAATGACCGGATTATGCCGTAGGGGATGCTCGCAGGATGCTCGAGAAAACAGCTAATTACGCTTTTACGTGCTTCACCAAAAAGAACAAAAACAAAACAGTTGACAATAATGAAAAAAGGACTCAGAAGAAAAAATGGATTCAGACCAAAAATATATAAAATAAAATAAATTATTCCAAATCGACAAGAAGCGCTATGTACATGTATGGTCCTTCAATAGCAGGTGTGTATATAACAGCCTCATTGGGGATCTGCCCTCTTTTCGAATAACCCACATTATGGTATCATAAGTATATGTGTGGAGAAAGAGGCGAACTATTCCACTTCATGAAGCTACTGGTGTCAAATGCTTTTGACATGTCGAGGCCCAGGACGTGGCAATCCCACACAAAGTGGGTGGCTTTAGCTGAAATCCAGCGCTGTGTCCACACCACATCGGCAGTGAAACCAGACAATGACAGTGTTACCAAGTGCCCTCTACCCCATGCGTATTGCCTAGTGCCATTTTGCAGAATTATCAGAGTTTTCCGTACTCGATTTTCAGGTCAACATTTTGACTGATTTAGTTCACTTGTGAAGCCTACGTACGAATTCAGTACAATTTTCAACTTCACCAGGTCATAACTTTGGTCTACTTCGCTTGATTTTCACAATCTAGAGCTCGTTGGAAAGCTCTAGGCAGGGTCAACGGCAGAACGCCAAGCTCCATTATGAAGCCATAACAAATCAGGCGCGGTAACACAGCCAAAGTCGTCTCCAAGCCTACTTGTAATACGCAAGCAAACCGTCCCAACAACACCACTCCACTCCCCTTCTTCACGGAATGCTGAAATTTTCGAGCCGATTAAAAAAATCTTCAGCCTGCTACATCATTAAAAAGTGTTCAGTTGCTCAAAGAGCACGCAAAAAGGGATTCCCCCCACCCAAAATGGCGAAGAGTTCGACCAAAAATTATATTTTGCCAATGTAAGATGCCTGAATACGGCATGCGATATCTCATTAGTCCGACATCGCTTCAGCCATTGTTGCATTGGACAGTTTGGAGTTTTGCTACCACGTAGACCCTTCGATTGTTGAATTTGCACAAGAAACGATGGAGTTACAATGGTTGTAGTAATCGTTCATATACATGATCGTTTGCGGGGTATTCGATTGAAATCCGTACTGCGGACAAAACTTCGTTTTCCGTACAAATACGGACAAACACGGGTGGTTAGCAACACTGCAAAGTGAGTCGAAAAGACATACGTGGTGCAATAACTGAACACTTCTGTACCAGGATACGTTCGGGCCTTGTTAATGATAGGCTTACAATGTGGTGGAACCACCACATGGTCAATCCTGTTGTATATATTTCTAGTACGGATCGTACTGCTGTCTTTAACCTTTCCAGCCCATGTTGTTCGGTAGCACATTGAAAAGCGGAATACTGTGTTGGCTAGCAACAACTGATGCGAGTTTTTGTCCAGTCCACAAGCGCCTGCTCGTTCTCATTGCGAGTCCCCTTGCTGTAATTTCCGACACACGAGGTGACAGTGCTGCCAATTATGCTATTGAAGTTCCCCACTCCGATGACAAGCGTTCGTTTGCTTGTCCCATTCCATACGGAAGATAGTGCGTCGTAGAACTGGTCTATGAGCTCAGGCTCTTCCTTTGACTTTGGGTTTGTGGGTCCATGCGCCACGACAAACCCAACTGGCAGTGATGAGTTCTTGGCTTGTGGAAACGATAGGTGAGCACAGCCCACCAGATCCGACAGTTTTTATTTATTTTTGAAATGCACATTTCAAATATTTTGAAACAGCGAATCTAAATCCGCCATGGCTGTCGTCTGTCAGGCCAAAGCTCGCCAGCCTGTGAGTTTTACTAATACTTCTGCCAAACGGATCCTTTGTTTTCAGCTCCTGAAGTCAAAAGAAGTCCATCCAGCACGTTTGCAAATCACGAGCGAGTTGTCGGTGTGTTGAGTTCGAAAACAGTGCATGAACATAGAACGTCACTAATGTAGTATCCCTGTCTGTCTAATACGGAAGTAATACGGAACTTTACCTGATGGATATTTAGTATGTTTCATATCTCCGTATGTAAATGTACGGCGTCTGCTGCATAAAAGCTGCTGCGGATTTCTGTTTTGATTAGATATTATAGCAACGAAAAAGCTAACTCGAAGAAGAAGTAGTCAACCTCTAGGTGTGCACCGGAGAGAAAGTTATTTATCTGCTGCTTCTTCTTTTACTTCCTGACATTATTGAGTTTTTTTAGTTGCACAGGCTTCCGTTCCTGACAATTGGGTATTCTGTTGCTCCTTGCCACCTGCTGCATTGCTACACCATTGTGATATTTCTGTATTCCATGCTCTTGGGTTCCGTGATTAACAATTGGTTAAAGCCACGGAACTTTCCGTTGGGGAGGGGATGGTGTAACAGTTTTACACCTACTTTCACCACTCACACCTTATCACCTTGTGTCACACCTACTCTCATATATAAAACCAGTATATTGAGTAATAAACGCTCTCTTCTTCCTTCGCTCAATAAAGAACTATTACAGTGAGCATCTGTGCTGAGCTGTTACGCCCTTTTTGATAGAATGTGGTTTGGCCAGTGTCTTGTCCCACGTGCTTAGCATGTAGGCTGAGCGACACGCGCTTTCCCACGTAGGTTATTATACCTTCTTGGCATGGCACATCATGTGACCCAACGCCGGAACCTGGTCAGGTAGGTTCTCGCATTGTACGTTTCCTGGAAGTGGTTCACTTCCTGGAAAGGTGACTCCAGGCTTTGTGCAAAATCACGTCACATCGACGTTCTAGAGGGTTCCACGATGCCTCCTTGCTTCGTGCAAGAATTCAAGAATAACATGACATTGCATAACAAGAGCTAAGTGCAAGAAGGAATACGTGTGCATAAATCAAAACCGTCACCGCGCAAGAGGTCAGAGCATCGCGCAAGCAAGACCAAGAATGCAGCAGAACTTACCATAAGAAGCCACTGAACTATGGCACGTTGGGTGAGCGGGCTCCTCAACGTGACCCTCATATACTCACATTGTACACTGACGTGGGTGAGCGGGCTCCCCACGTCCCAATTTGGTCTTTCTTCTCCATGTCTTTCTTTCACTTTCTTTTCGAATGATTACGTACGTGCATTATGCTTTTCTGCTGACTGGCTGCTCATATTCCAGTTTTACCTGTTCTTGTAGTTCCGGGTAATACCTCGTATCATCCTAGGCAATGATCACGCCATATCTCTAAATTGCGCTATAAAAGAAGCTCCTGCTCTCTCTTTTGCTGCAGTCGAGACTCGGTCTCAGCTCTCTGTCTTGGTTTACTTTGAGCTCGGATTTGAATGACTACTCACAACGTTAAACTAACAGTCTTTGTCTGTTGATCGTGTGGGGTTGAACTTGGACCAAGCCAGCTATATTGGTTAGCCTCTGGGTTGTGCTGGGCTTGTTGTGAGGTCACACGTCTATTCAGTTGCCGCTCGTAGTGATTCTGGGTCCGGTCACTGAGAGCCAGGGAAGCGACACATTAAATTTGCATTGCATTTTCATCCATTGTGTTTCCTTCGATCGTAAAAGAGGTTTCATTCACTACTCTCGGGATCCCGGGGATTTCTAACAAAAACTCCCGGTAAAGTGACGTTCTTTTGTTTGATACAGAATGTTCCTGAAAACTCCATGCATTAGCCTCGAATGTCCTTTTTTCTCTTTAAAAAATTACGCTGCGCAATTGCACTTCCGACTATGCACGGCACTGTCAAGACCTGACCAGCCTAGGTGATACGCGAAGAGGAAAGGGCATGAAGGACGAGCGCACTCAGATCCTACACAGAGAGGTTGCGTCTACCTGCGTAACGAGCAAGACTTTGAAAGAAAGTCAGAGCCCATTGAGAGAATGGAAGACGGTGTCCAGATATCCAGAACAGTAACTGGGTGCCGTCAAGAGTTGAAACCCTAATAGTTGGATGTAAAGGGTTACGTGCATTGGATACCTTGTTGCAGTTAGACTGGTGCAGCATGCTGGCTGTTAGAGTACAATCATTCATGCGTGATATGGATAGGCAAATGTGTTAGAGCTATGATCCATGTGTGCTTCTATTCATGCATTCCCAGCAAGAAGGCCATGTGTCAGGTCTATTCAGTACTCTGGTGTCTAGACGTCTGCATTCTATTATTGTATCACATTACATGGTCGAGTGTTGCCATAGGGTCTTTCTATACCATGTATGTGCGTGCACTGTTATTAGCTATTGCTATCTTTTGTTAGGCCAGAGTTGGTTTTAGCCTAGTTGTGGAGATGTTCAGGTTTTAGTTCTTGGAGAGTTGTGACTGTTTTCAGATCATGAGTCAGTGTAAACATTGTGTCCTGGAGATCTTTGTGTGTGGATAATCCCGGTTCCGGGGAGAAACGGAATATCTGGTCCTTCGAGCCGGATCTGGAAATAGTCATAATGGAAGGTGAAGATAGGAGTACGCGCAGAAGTGCGCGGTCAACGAGAGGTGTAGCACCTCCCCGTTTGGGTTTTGAAGAAGAGCGCTCGATGCGCAGTAGTAGGAGATCAGGAGGAGGACAGTCCCGATCTTCATACGAGACTCAGCGTCGAGTTCTGGAAGCAGAAAAGAGGCTCCTGGAGAAGGAGCTTGAGCTCGTGAGGTTAGCTCAAGACGAAGCGTCGTCAAGTGGCCAAGGGGCCAAAGGATCGTCCTCTCCCAAGATGGCCTCCGAAGTCTTCGCAGAGGAGCTCATAGAAGGCCATGAAGCTGATGCAGCCGTTGACGCTGGCCAAGGAGATGAGGCTGGTATGGGTGAAGTAGAAGTTGCGCACCTGCCAGAACATGCAGTGGCTGTTTCTCACGATCCAGAGCCGCACGCAGTGCCGAGTCCCAGTGTAGCCGGAACTGTCAGTGCCCACACAAGCAGGAGTTTGCCTGTGGCGGTGAGGACTGAGTCTGAGGTCGCACGTGCGTCGACGAATACGGAGCAGGCCAATCTGTCAGGGTTGCGAGTGCAACAAGAGTTTGTGCTGAAAGAGAAGCGCTATCAGCGGGAACTGAGCGAAGCTCAATCAATAGCGGACGCCGAGCAGCGACGTGTAGCGAAATTGAACAAGGATCTTGCGAGCGCTCGTGCAGACCTGTCATCGCTGCAGGCGGAAAATAGGCGAGTCACGCAGGAAAAAGAGGTGTGCGAAGCTGAGCGGGATGTATCGGAAAGGGAACTGCGCGAGCTGCAGCCGCATCTCGAGCGCCTGGAAAGAGAACACCAGGAGGGGCGCATGTGTTTGGAAGATCTCCGCGATCAGAATGACCGCTTGCTGACGCGAGCCGAGCAGGTTTCAGCAGAGCAACACGCGCAGCGAGCTGAACTGCTCGACAAGCTCGAACGCCTTCGCGCGGAGAACGCCAGCCTGCAACAGCGGGCGGATCGAGGCGGAGGCCGAGGGCCGAATGAGCAGCGAACACAGCGAGCGGAGTTGCTAGTTCAGCTGGACCAGCTTCGCGGAGAAAATGATCGCCTGCGGAGGCGTGCGGACCACGACCAGTACACCGCACAGTGTTCTAGTGCGCAGCAACAGGAGCTACGCAGTCGGATTCAGAGCGATCAAGAGCCGGAGGAGATAGTGAAGACGCACCAAGCAGCTGGTTCCACGGTCAAAGGCCTTCAGCAGGATGGACGTGGGCAAGCAGATGAGGGTCTGCAAAGCCAGCTATCAAGGCTCACCGCGTGACAAGCCAAGATCAACACCGACTTGCCAGCGTTCTCGGGTGCAGCAGAAGAGTGGCCAGCATTCCACCACATGTTTCAGTCTACGACCATGCAATGTGGCTTCACGGAGGCTGAAAACATTCAGAGATTGCGGGTCTGCCTAAAAGGTCCTGCAAAAGAGGCAGTAAGAATGCTCCTCATCGTGCCAGAGAACCTGCCGAAAGTTCTCTCAACGCTGGAAAGGAGGTTCGGGCGGCCAGAACTAGTAGTCACGGAGCTCGTATCGAAGGCGAAATCAGCTAAGCCGGTACGCAGTGACGATGTAGAGACCTTGGTGTCGTACAGCACCTCGGTTAAGAATGTAGTGTTATGTATGAAGCTGCTTGGTAGCTGTGGACATATGTCCAACCCTACCCTCCGACAGGAGCTAGTGAATAAGCTGCCAGTTGCACTGAAGATGCAGTGGGGCGAATACTTGGCGGAGAAAAGGACCCAGATGGATTCCCTCGACCTGGAGGTCTTCGCAGACTGGCTAGAAAATCGAGCAGAGGCTGCGCTGAATGTGGCCGGGCCGTTTGCCAAAGCGGCCCCTCGAGCAAGTAATGCAACAGCTATGCACACCACAGGTGGTCCAGCCAGCACAACTAAGCCAGTGTTGCAGTGCGCCAAGTGTGGTAAAGCGCACTCCCTCACCAGCTGTGATGTCTTCCGCCAACTGTCAGTGAAGCAGCGGTGGGACTTCGTGCTTGGAACATCGCTATGTGTGTGCTGCTTCAAGACAGGCCACTGGAAGTCCGAATGCAGAGGCAGTGGTTGCAACAAGTGCCGAGGCAGACACCACCCTGACCTCCACCAAGAGCGCGCACCTCCGGCCAACCAAGGCTCCACGAGCAGGAGCACAAAGCCACGAGAGAATGTGGTTCCGCAACACAGCACGAATACGTCTGTGGCAACCACGCAGAAGACCGCTTTTATGGTAGTCCCTGTCGTGTTATGCCATCAGGACAATACGGTGCAGGCCACAGCCATGATGGACAGCGGTTCTTCAACAACATACCTGAAAGACAGTGTGGCAAACGACCTCGGGCTGCAGGGAACACCAACGGCATTTACGGCGTCGGTTCTGGGGGGAAAGACAGTCTCAGGAAAGCACCGTCGCGTAAAAGTGACAATGGCGTCGGAAGACGGCTCATATGAAACCCAGCTGGAAGCATGGACGCAGCCAATAGTTACAGCACCGATGGAGATGATCGAGTGGAACTCGAGGAGACACATGCACAAGCACCTCCAAGAGGTTACCTTCCCGCAGGTGACTGGGGACCAAGTCGACCTGCTGATAGGACTCAACGTGCCAGAAGCGCACAGAGTACTGGAAGAGCTGGCAGGACAGCCGGGCGAGCCAGTTGCTCGAAAACGTCCCCTCGGATGGGTATGTTTCGGTCCCGTCAAGTCGCAAGCGGCAGAGTTCACAGAGACGTCCCTGCATGCGAATGTCAGCGATAGGAGCAACGCAGTTCTCAACGACCTCGTCGCAAAGTTCTGGGAGGTAGAGAGCGTTGGTTTGGTTCCTAAGGCTACGAAAACGGTCGCGGAGGAGGAAGCACAACGTATGGTTGAAGGAAGCATGAAATTGATGGATGGCAGAGTGTCGACGGCCATACCGTGGGTCAGCACCGATAAGAAGCCAGATCTCCCACCGAATCGTGAAATGGCTGAACAGCGACTGAGAAACCTGGAGAGGACTCTGAGGAAACGACCGGAAGTCTACCAGCAGTATTCCGACGTCATCAAGTCCCATATAGCCAAGGGCTACATCCATCCGTGCCAGGAGACAGACCAACAGTGGTTGCTTCCTCATCTGGCGGTGGTACGAGCAGATAAAACTACGACGAAAGTACGAGTGGTATTCGATGCCGCTGCCCGATGCCAGGGCAAGTCACTCAACGACGAGATGCACTCTGGACCGAAGTTGCAGAGGGATCTGGTACACGTGCTGATGAAGTTTTGCCTAGAGCCTATAGCGCTAGTCGGCGATATTGCAGAGATGTTTCTGCAGGTGGAAATCGCTCCAGAAGATCGCAAGTATTTGCGCTTCCTGTGGCGCGACACACCGGATGAGCCAGCCGCCATGTATGAGTTCTCTCGGTTGGTATTTGGGCTGAAGGCATCGCCATACCTGGCATGTCGGGCTCTGAAGGCAACGTCAGCAGAGCACGGCGCATCCTTCAGCAAGTTGGCTCGGGAAGCAGTTGATGAAGCGTTTTACGTTGATGACCTGCTCGACTCACTACCGACTGTGGAGTCCGCCATCAACACTCGACAGGAAGTCCAGAGTCTGCTCGGAAAGGCGTCTTTCCACGTCCGCAAATGGAGGAGCAACAGTCAAGCCGTGCTAGAGTCTATACCGGACGAGGACTTGGCCAAAGAGGCACTGCTATGCATCAGCAACGACAGTCAGCAAATACCAGCGGTGGTGAAGACTCTCGGTGTGGTGTGGGACGCCAAGACAGACACCTTCAGCTATACGCACCGTGCTCCTGAAGAACAACAGTGGACCAAGCGTCAAGTGCTGTCGAAGATGGCGAGCATCTTCGACCCTAGAGGCCACATTGTGCCCTTTACCATGCGGGCGCGGCTGATGTTTCAGGAGCTTTGTGCAGCTGGGATCGGGTGGGACGACCAGATTCCGGCCGAGCTGAACGAGAAGTGGTACAGGTGGTTTGCCGAGCTGGAGCACCTCAGCAAGATCAAGATACAGAGATGTCTCAAGGAAACGGATCGCCCAGCCCATGAGGCATCACTGTCGGTACATGTGTTCACCGACGCTTCGGCCCATGCAACAGCGGCAGTGGGTTATGTCCGAGCGGAGTACCCCGATGGACATGTGCGCATCAGCATTGCGCTTGCTAGAGCCAGAGCCACACCACTGAAGAAAGTCACGATTCCGAAGCTGGAGCTCCGCGGTGCAGTGCTGGGTGTGCAAGTAAGTGCCGCCATCAGTGAGGCCCTCCACATCCCCATGTCCGAACACAACTTCTGGACTGATTCGATGAACGTCGTACACTGGGTGAGGAGTCCGGCTAAGAACTTTACTTCAGACGTCGCTAATCGAATAGCGGCAATACAGGAGTCGACAAAGCCGACGCAGTGGAGGCACGTGCCTGGAAAGATCAACCCAGCAGACTTGCCAACTCGGGGGGTGAAGGCCGAGGATCTACCCGGTAACAAGTGCTGGTGGCAAGGGCCTGCATTTCTCCGCAACACCAAGGAGTCCTGGCCGCAGACTGAGTTGACCAACAAACCGCAGCTTCCGGGCCAGGTGAAGAAGACGATCGAGCTGGCACTCACAGCGGTAGAGCCGGACAAGGGTCGTCTTGATGTTGAGAGGTACTCGCGTTGGACACGTCTGATTCGCGTCACATCATGGTGCTGGCGTTTTGTGAGCAACGCTAAGCTGACAGCAGATGCAAGAGTCATGAGGGGGCATTCTCAGGATGCTAGTTCGGCTCCCACGGAGGTCGTCTGTGCTAACGCCCCAGGAGCGAAGGCTAACCCTAGTGCCCGCAGACA